GCGGCGTGGTGGGCGGCCGTCTCTGCTGCCGCCTCGAGTGAGCCTCGTCTCGCTCTTCGTCTACTCGAGCCTCGCCTCGTATGCCGCTTGTGGGGAGCGTGGCGTGGCGGGCGGCCGTCTCTGCCGCCACCTCGTGTGAGCCTCGTCTCGCTCTTCGTCTACTCGAGCCTCGTCTCGTGTGCCGCCTCGTGGGCGGCGTGGCGGGCGGCTGCCTCTGCCGCCGCCTCGAGTGAGCCTCGTCTCGCTCTTCGCCTACTCGAGCCTCGCCTCGTATGCCGCTTGTGGGGAGCGTGGCGTGGCGGGCGGCTGTCTCTGCCGCCGCCTCGTGTGAGCCTCGTCTCGCTCTTCGTCTACTCGAGCCTCGTCTCGTGCGCCGCCTCGTGGGCGGCGTGGCGTGGCGGGCGGCTGTCTGTGCCGCCGCCTCGAGTGAGCCTCGTCTCGCTCTTCGTCTACTCGAGCCTCGCCTCGTGTGCCGCCTTGTGGGGAGCGTGGCGTGGCGGGCGGCTGTCTCTGCCGCCGCCTCGAGTGAGCCTCGTCTCGCTCTTCGTCTACTCGAGCCTCGTCTCGTGTGCCGCCTCGTGGGCGGCGTGGCGGGCGGCTGTCTCTGCCGCCGCCTCGAGTGAGCCTCGTCTCGCTCTTCGTCTACTCGAGCCTCGCCTCGTATGCCGCTTGTGGGGAGCGTGGCGTGGCGGGCGGCTGTCTCTGCCGCCGCCTCGAGTGAGCCTCGTCTCGCTCTTCGTCTACTCGAGCCTCGTCTCGTGTGCCGCCTCGTGGGCGGCGTGGCGGGCTGCTGTCTCTGCCTCCGCCTCGAGTGCGCCTCGTCTCGCTCTTCGTCTACTCGAGCCTCGCCTCGTGTGCCGCCTCGTGGGGCGGCGTGGCGGGCGGCTGTCTCTGCCGCCGCCTCGAGTGAGCCTCGTCTCGCCCTTCGTCTACTCGAGCCTCGTCTCGTGTGCCGCCTCGTGGGCAGCGTGGCGTGGCGGGCGGCTGTCTCTGCCGCCGCCTCGAGTGAGCCTCGTCTCGCTCTTCGTCTACTCGAGCCTCGTCTCGTGTGCCGCCTCGTGGGCGGCGTGGCGTGGCGGGCTGCTGTCTTTGCCTCCGCCTCGAGTGAGCCTCATCTCGCTCTTCGTCTACTCGAGCCTCGCCTCGTGTGCCGCCTCGTGGGGCGGCGTGGCGGGCGGCTGTCTCTGCCGCCGCCTCGAGTGAGCCTCGTCTCGCTCTTCGTCTACTCGAGCCTCGTCTCGTGTGCCGCCTCGTGGGCGGCGTGGCGGGCTGCTGTCTCTGCCTCCGCCTCGAGTGAGCCTCGTCTCGCTCTTCGTCTACTCGAGCCTCGCCTCGTGTGCCGCCTCGTGGGCGGCGTGGCGTGGCGGGCGGCTGTCTGTGCCGCCGCCTCGAGTGAGCCTCGTCTCGCTCTTCGTCTACTCGAGCCTCGTCTCGTGTGCCGCCTCGTGGGCGGCGTGGCGGGCGGCTGTCTCTGCCGCCGCCTCGAGTGAGCCTCGTCTCGCTCTTCGTCTACTCGAGCCTCGTCTCGTGTGCCGCCTCTTGGGCGGCGTGGCGTGGCGGGCTGCTGTCTCTGCCTCCGCCTCGAGTGAGCCTCGTCTCGCTCTTCGTCTACTCGAGCCTCGTCTCGTGTGCCGCCTCGTGGGCGGCGTGGCGTGGCGGGCGGCTGTCTCTGCCGCCGCCTCGAGTGAGCCTCGTCTCGTTCTTCGTCTACTCGAGCCTCGTCTCGTGTGCCGCCTCGTGGGGCGGCGTGGCGTGGCGGGCGGCTGTCTCTGCCGTCGCCTCGAGTGAGCCTCGTCTCGCTCTTCGTCTACTCGAGCCTCGTCTCGTGCGCCGCCTCGTGGGCGGCGTGGCGTGGCGGGCGGCTGTCTCTGCCGCCGCCTCGTGCGAGCCTCGTCTCGCTCTTCGTCTACTCGAGCCTCGTCTCGTGTGCCGCCTCGTGGGCGGCGTGGCGTGGCGGGCGGCTGTCTCTGCTACCGCCTCGTGTGAGCCTCGTCTCGCTCTTCGTCTACTCGAGCCTCGTCTCGTGTGCCGCCTCGTGGGCGGCGTGGCGTGGCGGGCGGCTGTCTCTGCCGCCGCCTCGAGTGAGCCTCGTCTCGCTCTTCGCCTACTCGAGCCTCGTCTCGTGTGCCGCCTCGTGGGCGGCGTGGCGGGCGGCTGTCTCTGCCGCCGCCTCGAGTGAGCCTCGTCTCGCTCTTCGTCTACTCGAGCCTCGTCTCGTGTGCCGCCTCTTGGGCGGCGTGGCGTGGCGGGCGGCTGTCTCTGCCGCCGCCTCGAGCGAGCCTCGTCTCGCTCTTCGTCTACCCGAGCCTCGTCTCGTGTGCCGCCTCGTGGGCGGCGTGGCGTGGCGGGCGGCCGTCTGTGCCGCCGCCTCGAGTGAGCCTCGTCTCGCTCTTCGTCTACTCGAGCCTCGTCTCGTGTGCCGCCTCGTGGGCGGCGTGGCGTGGCGGGCGGCTGTCTCTGCTACCGCCTCGTGTGAGCCTCGCCTCGCTCTTCGTCTACTCGAGCCTCGTCTCGTGTGCCGCCTCTTGAGCGGCGTGGCGTGGCGGGCGGCCGTCTCTGCCGCCGCCTCGAGTGAGCGCGTCTCGCTCTTCGTCTACTCGAGCCTCGTCTCGTGTGCCGCCTCGTGGGCGGCGTGGCGTGGCGGGCGGCCGTCTCTGCCGCCGCCTTGTGTGAGCCTCGTCTCGCTCTTCGTCTACTCGAGCCTCGTCTCGTGTGCCGCCTCTTGGACGGCGTGGCGTGGCGGGCGGCTGTCTCTGCCGCCGCCTCGAGTGAGCCTCGTCTCGCTCTTCGTCTACTCGAGCCTCGTCTCGTGTGCCGCCTCGTGGGCGGCGTGGCGTGGCGGGCTGCTGAATCTGCCGCCGCCTCGAGTGAGCCTCGTCTCGCTCTTCGCCTACTTGAGCCTCGTCTCGTGTGCCGCCTCGTGGGCGGCGTGGCGTGGCGGGCGGCCGTCTCTGCCGCCGCCTCGAGTGAGCCTCGTCTCGCTCTTCGTCTACTCGAGCCTCGTCTCGTGTGCCGCCTCGTGGGCGGCGTGGCGTGGCGGGCGGCTGTCTGTGCCGCCGCCTCGAGCGAGCCTCGTCTCGCTCATCGTCTACTCGAGCCTCGTCTCGTGTGCCGCCTCGTGGGCGGCGTGGCGGGCGGCTGTCTCTGCCGCCGCCTCGAGTGAGCCTCGTCTCGCTCTTCGTCTACTCGAGCCTCGTCTCGTGTGCCGCCTCGTGGGCGGCGTGGCGTGGCGGGCGGCTGTCTCTGCCGCCGCCTCGTGTGAGCCTCGTCTCGCTCTTCGTCTACTCGAGCCTCGTCTCGTGCGCCGCCTCGTGGGCGGCGTGGCGTGGCGGGCGGCTGTCTCTGCCGCCGCCTCGAGTGAGCCTCGTCTCGCTCTTCGTCTACTCGAGCCTCGTCTCGTGCGCCGCCTCGTGGGCGGCGTGGCGTGGCGGGCGGCTGTCTCTGCCGCCGCCTCGAGTGAGCCTCGTCTCGCTCTTCGTCTACTCGAGCCTCGTCTCGTGTGCCGCCTCGTGGGCGGCGTGGCGTGGCGGGCGGCCGTCTGTGCCGCCGCCTTGTGTGAGCCTCGTCTCGCTCTTCGTCTACTCGAGCCTCGTCTCGTGTGCCGCCTCTTGGACGGCGTGGCGGGCGGCTGTCTCTGCCGCCGCCTCGAGTGAGCCTCGTCTCGCTCTTCGTCTACTCGAGCCTCGTCTCGTGTGCCGCCTCTTGGGCGGCGTGGCGTGGCGGGCGGCCGTCTGTGCCGCCGCCTCGAGTGAGCCTCGTCTCGCTCTTCGTCTACTCGAGCCTCGTCTCGTGTGCCGCCTCTTGGGCGGCGTGGCGTGGCGGGCGGCTGTCTCTGCCGCCGCCTCGAGTGAGCCTCGTCTCGCTCTTCGTCTACTCGAGCCTCGTCTCGTGTGCCGCCTCGTGGGCGGCGTGGCGTGAATGTAGGCTTCACGCTGGGGTCGCTCCTCGTCACGAGCGCATCTGCCCCTCTTCTGGCTTCATTGGGATGCGAGGTCCGTCTGCACCCGCTCCCTCCACTCTGCGTTGGGATGTCAGGTACTGCGTAGCTCTTCCGTTGTGGAGGCACGCGACTCCAGACTGACCCTTTACGCGCCAATGTATCACACCTCACGGTGCTGATGCTTGGTTCATGTGGAGAAGCCGAGATAAACTAGTCCGCCGATAACGATTGGGGTGGGGGCCCCAACTCGTGGTAGGCCACTAGTTTATCGTAGGGTACTCACGGATACCTCTCCTGAGTCCCTCTCGTGTGCCCTCGCGCACATCGCATGCGGTCTTCACTCAGCCTCCGCTGCTGTGAACACCAAACTTGCACTTCAGCTGGCGCGCGCTTTCGCCGCCTACTTTCGCGAGCGCGCTTGGCCCTTGCTCCTCATGCGCGGCGCTCTCGCTGCGCTCTCTCCCTGCTCATGGGACCTGATGCCGCGCCACCTCTGTGGCCGCTCCATCCTCTCTGACGGCGCCAGCCCTCCGGCTGCGCCATCTCTCTTTGGTTCCCACCCACCCTCTCCTTGGTGGCATGCTAAGCTCTCACGCTATCATGGGATCCACCGTGGCTCTCACGGCGAAGTCAGCTCGAGCCTCTGCTCGCGTAATGGGTCCTGTCGTCGGCCCATCTTACCTCTCCCCCCTCTTTATGCGGGGGAGACTCCCGCGTCGTTTACGCGGCGGTAGGTGCTCCACGTGTGGTGAGCTCCACCTCTCTCTCTACTTGGTCTGAGGTGCGAACCCTTACGGCGCCGCGGCCGGCTGCAGGACGTTGAGGTTACCTCCGGACCTGCAGTTCGTCCAAGCTGTTTGAGTCCCAACCCTCCGCCTTTAGTGGCAAGACCCCGGGGGATGTCAGGTACTGCGTAGCTCTTCCGTTGTGGAGGCACGCGACTCCAGACTGACCCTTTACGCGCCAATGTATCACACCTCACGGTGCTGATGCTTGGTTCATGTGGAGAAGCCGAGATAAACTAGTCTGCTCGGGATCTTACGTTCGTCCAGTGGGACATATGCGGCTCTCTTCACTAACGGCCTGCGGCCCCGGCGCGGCAGCGGAGCTTGCCAGTAAGGTGCGTGCGCTCAAGGCGGATGCTGTCGTCTGGTTCACCGAGTCCTCGCAGCCGGCGGAGCTCGCAGTCGCTCTCGCCGACTCTGCAGAGAGCGTCGTCGGAGCAGTCACGACGCAAGGCCTCATCGGCGGCGGCGGAGAGCACAGCCGGTCGCTCGGCTCCGCGTCGATGCCCGGAGTGCCGTACTCCTTTTCTCCGTCGCCCGAGGCGGAGCGGACAGTCGCGCTTGCCATCTCCGGACTCAGCGGCGGCGCGAGCCTGCTCCCGTGGCACTCGCCGCCGGACGGCCTGCCCGATCTCCCAGAGGCCTTTTGGACTGACCACGCTGTCGCGCCGCCCGAGATGTCTCCACACCTGCTGCTGCTCGCGGCGCCGCCGTCCTCGAGCTCGTTTGGCGTCGAGCGGTGGCCGGGCCTAGACATTTCGGCCACATGTCGGCCTGACCCTCTGCCACACCTCGGACCGATCTCGGCCTCACCTCGGCTAAACTCGGCCAGAGACCTACGCCTCGGCCGCATCTGAACTAGGTGGCTCAGCCGACTCGACTCGGCGCTGCCGTGGGCGACCAAGGTATCTTGGGTGTATATCTCGGAGATATCTCTGTCTCGGGTGTATATCGGATAAATTGACTCCGATACACCGCGGGTACATCTCGGGTACATCTCGGCTCCACTTGGCTCTCTCGACGGCCTCACGGTCGGATCTGTCACGTCTCAGCGATCAAGTGCTCACTTGATGGCAGGTCGGCGGCCTCACGGTCGGCTACAGCCTGCCAATTAATTATTAATAATTGATAATTAATAATTAACAGGTCGGAGGCCTCACGGTCGGCGACAGTCGCTTCTTCGTCGGGGCGACAGAGCACGACGGCGGCGGCGTCGGCCTCGCGCTCTGCGGCGTCGACCTCGAGCCGCTCGTGTGCCAGGCGCCTCGGCGAGATCTCGGCGGAATCTCGGAGGAGTCTCGGAGATGGCCGTCCCGCCATGGGCACGGCCGCTTGCGCTTCTGCAGACGTGTGCTTTTCAATGCTTGTGGTGCCTGTGCGGCACCCCGTGTGCCTCTGGCCCCTGATTCATATCAGTCTGTTAATCAGTAGAGTCTCTTATGCGGTTATGTGCCTCTCGCTCGTGCCACGATCACACACACACACACACCGCTCACCCACGCGCACCGGGCCTTGCACTTTGAATGCCCGTGGGGCTCCTGTCGTGTTAGACGTGGAGGGTTGCCCCCCCCGCCCCCCCCTTGCGCCCCACCCCACCTCGCGGTGTGTGCGGAGAAGTTTACCTTCCCTTACGGCTTTACCTTACCTTAGTCCTTACCTGCCACGATCACGCTCTTCTCGTGCCACGATCACGCGAAACTTCTGTTTCTCTCACGCGAAAAAACTCACGCCCCGCTGCTCCCCGCTCCGCGCCCTCGATGCACCGATGCACGATGGCGGGTCGGGCGTCGGCGCCGCGTCGTTGTGATAAACTAAGCCGTAATTGGCGAACTCTTAAGAGTAGAGAGAGCGCACCCCCCCGCGGCAAGACGGTAGAGATCTAGACGCCCGCCGCGCGCGCGCATCGCTTTGTCCGGGCCGCCCCAGCTGCCTGCCCCCATATCCCAACCGCCGGGCGCCAGCTGCCGCGCGCAACAACGACCGGGGGCGGTGCCGATGTAGCTACCTCCCGTCCGCCGCTGCCGCCCGCGGCCCGCCGCGCC